AACCATGACCGAGGCCTCCCCAGCTGCGGCTGCCTTCTGTCAGTTCCCTCCTTGAAAGCAGTGGCTCAGCTCTAATTGGCTGCTGGGGATAAATATTTACGGGACTGTGTAAACGGAGAGCATCTGCCTCCGAGGTCTGGTGGCAGAATCTCCACGGCAGCACCCAGGAAAGCCAGTGGGCTGGGGGCTCTCCAAGCTGGCCATCCTTTTTCTGCAAATTGACAAGCACTGCAGTCTTCCAGACTCGGGGCCAAATGTCTAATTAAATTCCCAGACCAGGATAACGGTGTTGGCTCCTCCTGGGTTCAGGAAGGCCGCAGCTTCCAGGCTGGGTGGGGAGGCCCTGGGAGGGTGTGCAGGCCCCTTCTAAGGCCCCAAGCTCATCTTCAGAATCCCAGCCCTGTGGGATTCTGCCCGTGGGGTGCTGCCGATCTCAGGCTGCGGAGACGACAGGCCTGGTGTTGGGCCCGGCTTCCCCACTACCTCTAAGGGTGGGGAACTGCTCAATCGGTAGGAGACGTGGCCTTCTCCTCCTTCAGTGGGAATGAAATCCCCACCTCATAGGCACAATGAAGACGTATGACAACAAGGGACACCAAGCACCTGGGACAGGGCCAAGCACAAAGGAGGACCAGGCTGCACGGCAGCCACTGAGATCTGAGTACGTGGGTCCCGACCTGGGCTGCGGGTGAAAACACCAGGGCGCTGTAAAAATAGATTGCTTGGCCCCACTCCTGCGCCACTGGAAAATCACCCGGGCCCAGGAATCTGTTTTGTTTTGTTTTTTTAAGGAATGCTCTAGAGGATGCTGATGTCGTCAGCCGACAACACAGTCGGCAGCCAGAGCTGAGTCACGCTGACCTCAGCCCACCTGGCTTCAGCCGCAAGTTCTACTCTGGACAGGAAGCCCTCCTGGGTCACAGCTGGTGAGGCGGGGCGGGGCGGCCTCCACAGTCCCTCAGGACTCTGTCGGAAGTGCTCCTCTGGTTTTAGCCTGCACACCCTGGTACCGTGGCCCCAGGAGGACGCTGGCAGAGGCCTGTGGGTGACCAGACTGCCTTCCATGGTGGCCATTCACACACTCCTGCACGTGACTGAGCAAGCCCTGTGTGAAAAGCCCCGTGTGGGGGCTGTCAGGGTGCAGCGGGCAGCTCGGCCCCTTCTTGTAGGAGCTGTGCCACCCTGGGGGGTCCCTCGACCTCCTCAAGCCCTGTCCCCTCAGTGTTACAGCAGAGGGTTGGGCTGGACAGCCTGGGAACTCACGGTAGGGGTTGTCCTGGTTGGGGGCAGGGTGGGAAGCCAGGGCAGTGTCTCCAAGGAGAGAGGGCTGATGAAATGAAGGATCAGGGCAGACGAGCCCCTGCCCCGAGGGGCCTCAGCTGACCACACGAGAACCCAGGGACACGCTTTGAGCTCAGCCTCCTCAGTCCAGACTGCACCAGGATGCGAGGGGCTCGGCTTGGCTGAGGCCTGGTGCTGGCCAGCGCCTGCCCAGACCCAGTGCCCACGGGACTGTCTCTGTACCCAGGTCCCGGGAAGGGGACCTCGGGGCTTCAGCTGAGAGGGCTGGGAGCCGTTCTGTGGTGTTGATCGGGATACTGCTGTGGGCCGGAAAGAACCTCAGCCCCAACAGCACAGCCAGGCAGCCGCGCCGCCGGGAGAGCAGCTTCCCAGGAGTTAAGGATTTGGGAGCATCGTGGCGAAGGACCACATCCCCGGGGATCCAGCTACTCTCCCATCCCCCGCCGCTCCCTCTGTGCGCTGAGCGCACTCAGTCCTCACCCTTGCCTGCCCTGCCTCCTGGGCCCGCCACGGCCCCTGCCTCAGGGCAGGCCAGCACCCCCCGCGGCTCTGCTGTAAGTGTTCGCTTGGCCTCTGCCCGAGGGCCGCTTCCCTAAGTCATGTCCCCCAACTCTGGCTGAACCCGGGGACTGAACAGCGTGTGGGAGGGACGGGGGATACCGCGTAACCATGCCGATCGGCCTCTCCTAAAGTCTGTGACCACAAAGCCTCACCTACGGGCTGGTCCATGGACCTCATCAAGTTTCCTGAGTACGTTCCTTTTCCCACTTCCAGGAGGCGATTTCACACCCTGCCTTTTACCTTCAGAACCGCACTCCTGCCGCCTCCGCTCGCGCCGCGACTCTGCTGGTCTCAGACCAGCAGCTACGCCTGGGAGGTCCTCACGCTCCCGCCACCACGGCCACGGTCCCACGGGCCTCACTCCCAAGCTTTCTGATTTTCCCCGGACCGACCGAAGGTCTCTTATTCTCTGGGCTCCAGCTCCTTCTCCCTTTGCAAGAATTCCTCCCTCAGTTTATCTCCTCTCCCCCCGTCAATTCCTTTCACCAGGCCCCTTCCGTGCACTTGCCTCTCCTAAAACACTTCCCTTGGCCCCGTCCTCTTCCAGCAGCTCCTCACTGCCTGCTCCTGTTAGTACCAAATGTCTGAGAAGAGCCAACCGCGCTTACATTACTCATTGGCCGCCTCGTCCACAATTTCCGCTGCCGGTGGATTTCCACCAGCACGCGACCATGCGTTCTTCCCGCTACTCCAGTCTGACCCTCGGCCAGCTCACTTCGGGGTTGCCATGCCCATGTCTCCTCTCTGTCCCATTCTTCCTCGGGCTCCCAGGAACATTCCACGTGGAAGGGCACAGATGAACCTTTGTGACTCATCTCCTGGTCTCCCTTTGCTTCATGGGCTGCTCTTTCTCAACCTCTTGGCATCTTTCTCTACCTGACCTCTGGGTCCCCTGTTCTTCTGTTCCTAGATGATCTCATCCAGGTCCATGACTCTAGACATCATTTATGTGCTCATGGCTCTCAAATTTATAACTCTGTACCAATCTCTCCCTGGAGCTCCAAACACATAGATCAAACTCGACACCACTCAGATGACTCGAGGCATCTCGGACCCAGCGGGCTCGGAAAGGACCTGTCCTTCCGTACCATCCCCCGCCCCATTTCCCATCTTAGTAAATGGAACCGCCATCCACTCAGTGGCTTAAACCCACACATAGGAATCTCTCTCATTTCTGTTTTCCTTCCCGATGCTTTTGCTTTGAAACATAGCTAGACTCCACCGGACTTCCCATCGTCACTCAACCCTGGCCCAGCCTGCCATATCTTTCGCTTGGAAACCGAAATCATTTCCTAAGTGGTGTCCCTGCTTCCCTTTCGTGGATGGGGGCTGCTCTGGAGAGGAGGGCTCTGAGAAGGGTCCGTCTCCTGCTGTGCAGACTACACAGTGCTAACCTGATTAATTGGGTTGCCCGAGGGGAGGTGCGTGTCCCCTCCCTTCTGTCACTCGTCCCTCAGAAACAGCACTTCCATTCAGAAAGCCAGATCAAGTGCCATTAACAAATTAATTCTGATCAGCGCAGCTCAAGCGCTCAGACCTCGAGGCAATCCCGCAGTCCTGGAGGGGCTGTCCTAGGCCTGGCCTGGTAATGAAGTGGAAACATGCTGGAAGCAGAGGCGTTTATTCTGATGCCTGCCTCCGTCCCTGGAGGGGGAGGAGTGGGATTTGATTACGACGTGGTTTCCTGAGGGAATTAACTCACTTTCGAATGATAAGTTATTAATCCCCCAAGTGGCATGTAGGTCCACGAGGACGGTCGCTCTCGCTCCCTCCCTGGGCCCCTATTTAGGACCAAGCATTCAGTGGGCCAACCGTCAGATGACAGAACTGGCAGGTGAGAGGTAGGTCTGGGGCCTGGTGTCATTCCTCACCCTCATTCTCTCATTTAACCAATGTAAACGGGCCCCCCGCCATGCTCAAGGAGGGCCTGTAGCTGGGACACCTGAGCTGAGCTCTGCACGACACAGGGAACCAGAACCAGTCGGCTCTGGGGGAAGAACCTTCTAGAGAGAAGGCCCAGAGAATGCAAATGCCTGTTGTCAGACAGCCAGGTCCTAGTACGTCTAGCACGGCCATCCTTGTCAGCTGGCTGCTGTCCTGGTGGTCCCGCGGATAGGACGGGCATGTACCTGCTAAGCAGCTGGCTGTGCCTGGGGTCGGTCCACCTGCCTGGGTGCCACCTTCCCTCCCTCCCTCCAAACCCCCTCACTCCTGCACAGGGCTTTGCTCCATTCCCACCTCTTCCAACAAAGCCTTTCAAAGTCCCAACTGGAAGGACCCCCTTCCTCTCTGAAGTCCTGGAGCACTTATCTGACACCTGCTGTCTCCACGGCCTTGTGTGGATAAACATCGCATTCCCATGTACTGGGAGCTCCTCCCCCATGCCCGGGCTGCTCAGGGGCAGGGGCCTCGTCCCCTCTGTCTCTCACCGCCCAGGCCTAGCCCTCGGTTACTGACACTCAGGGAGTCTGAACCGATCGTCTGACCCCGTGGAAGTCTGAGGGGCAGATGGAGACCCATGGGAGGGCACTCCATCCAGACCCTGGAGCGAGGCCTGGCTTTGGGTTTGAAAAGCAGTTTCCAGAGGATGATTAAAAATTTTCAAGAATATTCCTGGCTTATGGGAATGCTTGGAGACTTTCACAAAGACAGCAGCCAGGCAGAAGGAGAAGGGCCAGCCGAAGAGGAAAAGTCCCGGAACGGAAAAACCAGGTGAAGGAGGCAGCCGACCACTTCCCAGAGGCAGGTTCCCGCCCAGACCCGCACCTGACCACACCTGACCGCACGCACTCCAGCACTCAGACCTCTAAACGAGCACCTGCCCAGCCCCCCACGGCAGGCCTTGCTCCGGCCGGTCCTCCTCCCCCAACTCTCCCAGACAGCCCACAGTTCCAGCGCTAGCTGGTCTCACCCAGAAGCCAGAACACTGTCAGAGGAAACACAAGGGCGCGACAGTGCCTTCAGCGTCAAGCGCCTCTGCTGACCGCAGGACCTGCCGCGGGGCCTGAGCTGGCGGGAGGCCCGAGCTCCCGCCCAAGCTGATGCGGATGAGGCCCTGGCGCCCACCCCGGAGGAGGGGAAGCCGATGGGCATGAGGATGAGATGGGCGTGGAGACGCGCCGGGCACTGCCGCTGACCTTTCACGAGGACTGTCCTGGCCTCGGCCCACTCGCTCCTCCCGTCGGACGTCAGCAGGCCGATCGGAGGCAAGCGCTCGTCCTCGTTGGCAGCCATTTTGACTATCTTTCTCAACTGAGTGAACAGATCCCCCTCACTGAGACGGCGGAAATTAATGACAACATCCAAGACAAAGAACTGTAGGGGAGACAGGTCAAACACGTCACTCATGGGGGCGGCCCAAGGCGCCAGGCCTCCACTCAGCCTTTCCAGGGGAGCTCGGGGTGGGTGCTCAGGCCCCAGGCTCCCAGGGCATTTGGTGGTTCCGAGTAGTCTCAACTTGGGGACCAACCCAGTGCTGCCGACTGTGCTGGATTCCAAGCTGCCCCCAATCAGAAAAGGCAAGATTAAACTTTGCCAAAAGAAAAGTTGTTTTGTGGTTCCTAGTTCAGGTGCAACCATTATGTTTCAGGGAATTGAGTATAAATTGGTACAACCTCTGTTGGAGCACAGTGTCTATCAAAATTAAAAATGTGCACACCTACGACTAAGCAATTGCACTTATAAGTGCATGTGTTAGCCTAAGGCTTAAATGGACCCGTGTGCGCTGGAAGACATGGAGTATGCACCCCGGCCTTGCTGGCAATAGCAAAATGGTTCTCCAGGAGGGCGTGGCTGAGTGAAATGTAGTGTCCTCGTCCAGTGCATGTCTATGCAGCCATTGAAAAGAGCAGACTAACTCTAGGGTGAGCTCTGGGGATACATCTCAAACACATGGCGAGTGGAGGAAAAGAGCAAAGTAGTACATCATGTGCAGAGGAAGATTAAAATGGAAATCCAACATGCTCTATGCATACATATATGTACCTACACATGTGTACCTAAATGTGCATGTGTGTATGTATGTGTGCCCTGTGGGGCTGTCATTTTGCAGCGTTGAAGGCCAAAGCCTCGGGCTTTGTGAAAGGTCTGTTCCTAGGCCCAAGTGGAGATGCCCTTTTCAGCTGACTGACACGACTTCCTGGCTCCCTACCCTGATCCAGAGCAGGAGCCGCGAGAGCATTTCTGAGAGGGGTGTAGATTGCGGCCTGCTGGGCCCGAGAAATGTTGGCTTTGGCTTGTGAATGAAGATGGAGAAAGGTTCCTGGTCTGTGGCTGGCCAGCCAGGGCGCAGATGCCTCCTAGTTGGCCTTCGAGCCTGGGAACGGGGGCCACAGCCACTCTCAGATGGCAGACTTCCACTGAGCTCTCAGCTCACTGAAAATGTGAGATGAGCCCAAGAAGAACACACTGTAGAGCAAGTACCGGAGGTCCCTGGGATGGTTGCGAACTTGGGTTTTAGCAAAAAACAAAAACCCCAAACAAAAAAAAACCCTTTTTGTCAGATGAAATATTGATGTAAAGCCTCACCACATAGAATATATAGTGTGCTGGGCACTGAGAAGGGTTCAGGAGCCCTCGGGCTCAGCCCATCCCCCAGGCCCCAGGGCGTCCTTGTCGGCTGTGTGGAATCCAGCCTGAAGACCTGAGCTGCAGGGTATAGAGAGTGGCGTCAGAGCATCGGCCGGAACTAGGAGTCCATCCCACTCTTGGACAAACCACTTGACTTGTCTGAATCCCGTGGCCTCATCTGTTGCACAGAGATCCTAAGATCCTGTCTGCAGGGTCACGGTAAGAATTAAACAGGATGAACGTATGTGTGAGTGCTGAGCCCATGGTCTGGCACATGGGAAGTCCTGTCAGTCCACAGCTCTGTCCATCTGTCTGTGTGTAGTCTCCAGAAAGGCCACAGCCTAGGTGACTGCACGGAAACAAACAGATGTGCAGGTGGAGGGGCCGAGGCCATGCTGGGTCTTGTTCACAACTCTCAGTCCATCAGGGCTGACATGAGAGCCCAGTGAGTTTATTCTCGAACTGATGATTCTCCTCATTCTTAAAAGCCAACTGGTGGAGAGAAACGGACTGACTGGGAGTAGGAGACCCCCGTTTTGGGCTTACCGTGTTACTCAGGGAAGTGGGCTGAGCACCCTTGGAGAAGCAGGAGTGGATGCACGCCCATGGCCACTGCATGCCCCATGCCCTTCCCCAAGCCCAAGACAAGGGTCTACTTACCTGGTTGCAGCAGGCCACGATGACATGCTCGGGCTCGGGCATGACGCTGCTCTTCTGGGCCACCAGCGTGTCCTGGGTGTGGCCAGGGAGCCGGTAAGAGGAGAACAGCCCATAGTACTGCTTCATACAAAGGGGCTGCCCTGACAGTTGGCCTGTGGCACAGTCTGTGGGGATGGAGTGGCTGGAGGAGTAGCGGGGAGGGAAGCAGTCATCCGAGAGGGGTGGGGGGAGACAGGGAATAGAAATTGGTTCTATTATAACCTGATCAGGCAAAATGGGGCACAAAACTCAGAACTGCATCACCATGTCAGTTGCAGAGCTCAATTCTCCACTTTTAAAAGTAGTGGAGTGCCCATTTCCAGGGCACTGGAAAGAGAGACCCTTAGGATTTTCTCAAATCTCCGCTAATCCACCCTCACCCCTGTCTCAGGCACTGCATGTGTAACCCTTGCCATGTAGCCCTCTGCACCTTTGCTTATACTGATCTTCACTTGGCAAACCTTTGCCCCCATCCCTGAACTCAACTGTTATGTTGAGAAAACCCTTTCCCCTCATTTAAGAGCCTACTACTTATCATCTCTTTCAGAAGCCTCCTGTGAGGTCAAGGCAGGAAGTTCTTTCCCCTGTGATCTCAGCATGCCTTGTGTCTATCCTTCCTCTCTCTCTCCCTTCCTTCCATCCATCCATTATGAATCCATCCATCCACCATCCATCCATCTATCATCCGTCATGCATCCACTCATCCATCCATCCACCATCCATCCATCCACCATCCATCCATCCACCATCCATCCACTCATCCACCCACCATCCATCCCTCCATCCATCCACCATCCATCCATCATTCATCATGCATCCACTCATCCATCCATCCATCCACCATCCATCCATCCACCATGCATCCACTCGTCCATCCACCATCCATCCATTCATTCATCCACCATCCATCCATCCATCATCCATCCACCATGCATCCACTCATCCATCCACCATCCACCCATCCATCCACCATTCATTCATCCACCATGCATCCACTCATCCATCCATCCATCCACCATCCATCCACCATCCATCCATCCATCCATCCACCATGCATCCACCCATCCATCCACCATGCATCCACCCATCCATCCACCATGCATCCACCCATCCATCCACCATCCATTCGTCCACCATGCATCCACCCATCTATCCACCATCCATCCACCATCCATCCACCATGCATTCATGCTTCCATCCATCCTTCCACGCTTTTGGCCAAAAAATATGTGCTGGGCCTCCCCTCTGTGGCAGGCACCATTCTGGGATCTGGGGATAAAATACAAGACATGTACTTCCTACTTTAATGGGGTGCAGGTATGAGGATGTGTAGGTGGGAAGTAGACCATAAGCAGCAAACAGACAGAACAAGAGACTTTTAGGTGGTGAGACAGAGTGACTGGCAGGGGCATGAAGAGGTGACCAGGGGCAGTATCACTGAGACCTGGTAGATTGAGCTGGGCCCTAAGGGTGACAGACTGCCATGGAAGAGAGCAGGGTGGAGTGTCTCATGGCGCAGCCAAAGTGTGGGCATCAATCATACTGAACTGTTGTGACTGACCCATGGCAGGGTGAGTGCCTGAATCCGGAAATGTTCATAGCAATGCAAAATAATTTTATGGCTGTTGAATCTAATAATAAAACATATGATCTTGTATTTTGTGCCTTTGTATCATTTTTCTAGTAATTCATTTTTTGATGTGTTTTTAAAAATTTGCCAGAAAAATCAGTCCTTCCCCAGAGATAGTTTGAGAAGCACTGAAGGCAGAAAGGGAGCCAGTAGGATTGATGCCCAGTGAAGGGAAGGCCAGAGAGGTGGCAGGCCCGGTCCTGCCAGGCTGCAGTGGGGTGGCAAGGGGCTGTCATTTTATTCTTGGTGCAGTGGAAGCCCTTGGAAGGCTCTAGCATGCAGCAATGTGATTTGGTTAATGTTTTGCTTTTTAAGTGGTTACATGTGGAGAATGGACCAAGGGGGTCACAGGGAGAACGAGGAAGGAGGCTGCAGCTGAGAGGGAAAGTGATGTGGGCTGTGGGGGAGGGAGGGAGGGGCAGGGGACGTGTTCTGGAGGGAGGTGGTCAGACCCGAGCGCTGTGGATTAGACGGGGGTGTGGTGTAGAAAAGGAACCACAGGCAGCTTCTCGGTTCCCGCCCCCGGCTGGGGTGCGCTGGTGTACTCACTGGAGGGCAACCCCGGCAGGGGGCACGGTGGGGGCGGCAGCGAGTGGCAAACCTCTACTGGGCTCGTCTGCAGTGACCGGAGCCACCCCAGTGGGGATGTCTGGGGGTTGGGTGATCGAGTGTGGGGCTCATGGGAGGGGACAAAGCTGTTTTTTGTGTCTGTCTTGCCCAGTAGTCTGAGAACGTTTTCAGGGCCAGGATGAGGTCTTATTTCTCTCCATCTTCTCAGCATCGGTACTTTGCAAAGTGGCTAAGTGACTAATGAGTGAATTGAAGGTTCAAATGTTCCAGCCTTAAGTCACTTACAGTCACTGGACGTGGGAACCTTCTGTGGATATGCTGGGCGTGTGTGTCTGTGTGTGTGTGTGTGTGCACACGCGAGAGTCTGGCGTCGAGACTGTCAGCGATGGATGGGCACACGTCCCCAAGCCAGTGGACAGGGCCCCTGCAGGGCTGTTGTAAGGGCAGAGGCTCTTTGAAAACAGAGACCGTGCGGTGAGCTGGAGGGGTGAGCTCTGGGAGGAGGCAGACAGAGACACACCACGAGGAGACAGCGGCCCCAACGAGAGAATGGGACAGCGACCGTGACACTTAGAGAGGAGCCAGCAGAGCGTGTCCAGGAGTGCCTGGCGCAGAGAGGCACTGGAGGGCCTGCTGCGTGCCTGGCCGGGCTCAGAGCTTGCAGGCATCGCCTCACAGGGCAGGCGCAGGGCTCCACGAGGCGGGTACTATTATTATTTCCCTTTAGCAGATGGGGAGTGATACTAGGCGCCATCGCCCAAGGACAACACAAGAAGTATCGTGGGTGCCTGAATTCAGGTATGCCGACCCCAGGGCCCAAGCCCTGAGCTGCTCTGCCCTCTAGGTCTGGGAGCCCTGTCCACTCCTCTCCAGAGAGAACAGCCCTATCCCGGGGATGGGGGGGTGGGGAAGGGTGGTTGGGGTCTGAGCCTCTGCCCCAAGGTTGACTAAACACTGAGCTGGATCAAGTTGAACGGACAGTGAAGTTTGCCTCCTGTGCCCTCCTTCCTCTGCCACCTCCCAGCTGTGTGACCACAGGCAAGTTACTTAACCTCTCTGAGCTTCAGCATCCTCATCTGTATGAGGGACACTGCTTTGGGCCCTTCTCCCCCAGCATCCGATACCCTCGTAGTCTCTGCCTTGGAGACCTGGGTCCTCCAGGCCCTCTCCCTCTCCCCGCTACCCCCAGCACCCTGGGCTTGGCTGGGAGAGGGGCTTTCCTCTGAAATCAAAGCTAGCCCACGCTGGCTGTAGAACACCCTCGTGTCCACTGACCTTGGTGGCATTGAGGAAACAGAGGCTCGGTGTGGGGAGGCCATTCCCCCAAGTGACAAAGCAGAACTCACATCACTTACTCTGAGAACTCTTCCTCCCCATCTTCCAGTGTGTTCTCGAGCCTCAAACTAACGCACACCATGTGTGCACATCTGCGGTGTGGAGGGAGGGGCATTCTGAAAAGCTCCAGGAAGGACAATGCTTGCTCCAAGAAAAGGAACGGTTAACGATCAGGCCCCTAGTGCCTGATGCTGGGGCGGTGGGTGGGGAGACACATGCTCTGTGACAGGAGCCAGGAACACAGAGCTGGAAAAGCCAAGCTCGCTGCCCGGAGGAGCTCCCTGTCCAGTGTGGGGGGAGAGAGACGCACAGGCCCACTGCGCCTGAGCAGGGCACTACCCTTCCCAGGCGGGGCCCGCCCTACCTGTCCAGCAGGGCCTTGTAGCTGAGCACACCCGAGATGAGGCTGGCTGCAAACCTGCGGAGACAGGTGAGGCCTGAGCCCCTCCCCCTAGGGCCCAGGCTCTCCCCTCCCAGACTCTCTGATCACCCGCCATAGGCCAGGCCCTGGTGGGGCACTAATCAGATGTGGTTCCCACGCCCCCCAGTGCTGTCAGCCGATCACAGGCCTTGGATTTAAAATCCTCCTTTGGGGGAGCAGCTCTGGGGGAGAGGAGAGGAAACTGGGGTGACCTCAGGAAGGAGGAGGAGAGGGAGAGGGAGACCAGAGGGGCCACAGAGCAGGCCAGAGGGGCTGGATGCGGAGGGGTGGAGTTCTTCCTGGGAAAGGCCAGTCCTGGAGCTGGACAGGGCTGGGACCCCTGAAGCTTTGGAAAAATCCAGTCTCCTGGGAAAAGCCAGTAATTTGGTCCCCTTAGTGCCAGTGAGAAGGGAAGCAAGAGCTGGGGGGAAGGACGCTGGAGAACTGTGCCACGGGACCGTGTCATCCTAACTGTCCATGGCTGACGAGGCCTGGCTTAATTGCATTGGGAGGAAAATAGCCCGTCAGAGGCAATTTTGACGACTGTTCTCAGAAGTCATCCATCACACCTTCCCTCTGCCCAGGGGAGGCCCCGGCTGCAGGGGGAGGGGCTGACTGGCCTCCAGGCCAGCCAAGCTGGTCTTGGGGAGCCAGGGGTGGGGTGGGGCCGCCCCAGCATGGCTGTGCCCTGCCAGAGGGGAGGTGGGCACTGCCTCTTCTCCTCAGGCCACTTTGGCCCACCCCTCCCTCTGCACTGTCCCCACCCTTTGCCCCATTTGGGTCTTGAGAGCAGAGGCTCTGAGGGCCCCCGCAGGGAGACTCTTCCTTTGCCCACCCTCCCTCGTCATCAGTGGGCCTGGTGGCCCTTCCAGCGGCTCAGTGAGCTCTGAAATTGCAGCAGATGGCGCAGGCTCTGGCGGCTGGCAGGGAGGAATTGTCTCCGCCCCTCTGGGGCCTCTGTTTGGAGCCGGGGCTCTGGAGGGCAGCAGAGACCCTCTCAGACAGCCCTGGGCTGTGCTTCTCAGCCTCAAGTACTGACCCGTGCTAGAACACACGCCTCCTCCCAGGGCCTCGGCCAAGTGGCATCTGCCCCGGGGACATCTGAGGCCCATGTCCTCCATTAGTCCCACCCCACCACAAATAACCTATTCTGAGGCAGACCATGCGTTTGTTACTCGAGTGCCGCCACACCTGGCCTCCTTCCTGGCCCAGTGGCCTGGAGGTCACTGTCTCACTCAGCCAAGGCACTAGCTTTGGCCTTTCCTTCCTGTCACTGGGGCCAGGCCCCCTCCCTTGGGCAGGTCCCCAAGCTGGGAGACCAGGAGCACCATGGCCTCACCTCAGCTGGTCGTTGGTGTCTTGGAAGTGCTGCTGAGCAAAGATCACAGCTGGGCTGGAGTTGACGGGCAGGGCCAGGCGGTTACTGAGGTACATGTCGTTCAGCCAGTACTCAGACACCTGCGCAGAGAGAGGCGGAGGCGCACCGTGACACCCCCGCCCCCGCCAAAGTGCTCCCAAGGGCACCTTGCCTATGGAGGACACCAGACCCGTCCTGGCAGCCCCAAGGGAAAATCAGGACACATCATTGGAGCATTCACTTCATTCATTCCTTCATTCATTTCACAAACATACACTGAGCTCCAGTTATCTGCTCTGGCCCAGGTCTCCCCAGGCCACCACGCGTGTCCTTCACCTTTGCCCCGCACTAGCTCCTTTCTCCCGCCCTGGTTTTCCATCCTCATGGCCTGTTGCCCCCATCCCAGTCCCCTGCCCGTCCTTACGCTTGTCTCCTTCCTGCCCTTCGCCCTCTCTGCTTCCCTGACCTCATCCCTATCCCCATCTGTCCCCCATCCCTCCTCTCGTTGTCTCTCACCTGGCCCTGGCTGTACCCCAATCCATGCCTCCTGTCTGTCCCCATCTCTCCCCATCCCTGTCCCCCTTTGTGCCGTCTGCCCCATATTTGTCCCCGACCTGCCCCTCGCCCAAATCCCTGTCTCCGGGTCTGCCTCCTGCCCCTCTCCCTGGGTCCCGTCTCCCCCGTCACCTCTTACCCAGTTGGCCGTCTTCTCCTGCCGCTCCAAGAGCTTTTGCTGCAGGGTCTCGCCAAGGCTGCCAGGGGCCCCGAACCGCTGCACAATGGCCTGACTCTTCCGGAACTGCTCCTCGGGTACCAGGTGCCGCATACACCGCAGGTAGGTTGCCAGGGTCTGCTGCAAGGGGGGCACTGGCAGCTTGGGCAGTGCCTGGAAGAGAAGGTTCGTAGGCACTGCCTGTCTTCCCGCACGGCCTTAGTATCTGTCTCGCTCTGCCCTGTCCCTGCTCTCTGTCCTGGGACCTATCTGTTTCTAGGGCTCGACTCAGCAGAATCATGAATTTAGGAAGCTCCTGTTTGCTGTCCCTGCTCGCTCCATGCTCTGCCCCCAGGAAGGCACAAAGTGCAGAGGAAAACACCACGATGTTGGCACCAGACAGACCTGGGTTCATACCCCTACCCTGCTGCTGACCAGCCCTGTGACCTTTGGCAAGTCACCCTCCCACTGTGCCTCAGTTTCTTCCCTTGTAAAATGGGGGTAATAACCCCCACCTCCCATAGGATCAAGAGATAATGGATATGAAAGTGCTTATAAACCATAAACAACGGGTCTAAGATGAAATAGTCCTATTATTGACATTGTTGCCTGCTGGTCACTCTTAATATAAGACTGGGGCTCCAGAGTCCGATTGATCTCTGGACCTGAAGGGCGCTACTCTTAGGGAGAGATCTGGAAGGGTAAAGATGATTTTGGGTGGAAGACACTCAGTACTGCCCCGATGACCAGAATTCTGCAAGAAATTTCCTGGGAAGATGACTCATGTCCTGAGTTCCTTGTAAGTCCATCCTAGTTATACAACCCAGGCAGGAAGTTTTGATCCATGTAGGTGTTAGGGGCAGGGGTTGGGGGTACAGTGGAAGTCCCTCCTCTCCAAATCTCTCCAGGCCTCAGCTCCTCGTCCACAGGACATAAGTAACGATTCCTACCTGGGAGGGACACAGAGAGAACTGAATGGGAGAAACGACTGGCCCCAAACAGACACATAGAAAATGTTACGATGTTGCTGTCCTTATCCCTCCAGAGGAATTCCTAAGAGGAAACTCGTAATCTTTGGGGACCCCAAAGTGTGGCTAGAGTCTGGGCAGAACACCCCCCCATCGCCCTATATAGCACTGTGCCTCCCAGTCCACCCACCCTGTTTACTCAGAGGTTTCATGTGTGTCTTCAATTTTGTGGCTTAGCCACAGCAGGTATTTTGGTCCCATTCATGGATAAGAAAACCGAGTCCCTCCAAGGTCACACCACAACCTGGTGGCAGAGCTGGGTGCTGAGTTCAGTCTTCGTGGTCTACTTTTTTTGCTTCCTTCCCCGGTTGTTCTCTCCCTTCCCTGCACCCCCTGTTTCAGCCCCTGCTTTCCTTCTTCCCCACTTAGCCGGTGATGACAGGGAAGCAGGACTTTTAACGTTATTGCTCAAATCGCACAAAGTCGGCGGGCAGTGGGCCACCTTCCTGCGGGGGCTTCTGCTCTGTGGGTGGTGAGTTTCCATGAGGCAGCCCCGTGTTCATCCCCACCATGGCGGCTGCGCAGGGAAGGGGCCCCTCGAAAGCACCCCCTGCTCTGCCGCTGCGGCAGCACCCTGGGAGGGGAGGGAGACCACGTGAGTGTGCGCTGATGGGTGAATGACGGCCCTCCGCCTGTCCGATCCTGTCTCTAGAGTTCACTGCTCTGGCAGGCGTCAGTGCCAGCTGCAGGCTGCTCCTGCCCTGGGGGATGACGGAGGACGGGTGTGGACAGCACCCAAGTGCCCTGCCCATTCTCAGCCAGCCAGGTCCAGGCCCCTCCCAGCTGCTCTAGCTCTTCCTTCCCTGTGTGCGTGTGTGCGTGTGTGTGTGGAGGGGGGTTTTTTGGGTTGGTTGGTTGGGCAGGCCCTTGGGGAAGGCCCAGCCCGGTTGGGGTTTTGCCCAGGGGGCCCGTCGGTTTTGGTTGGGGGCCTTGTTGGAGGTTGCCCCCTTCTTTTTGGGTCTTGGCGTTTTGTTGGGCCCCGGCCGGGGGACAGCGAATCAGCTCAGACATCTCAGCCTCCCACGCTCTTCCCCAGGCCCTCCTGGACTTCTGGACCTAGGTCTCAGGTCAGTACAGTGTCCTGGGCAGTGCACGTGAGCCAGGCCCTGGGCTGGACTCAGAGACGATGGGGAGACGGAGCCTGCTCTCAGAGAAGCCACGGTCCAACGGGCCGGGGCTGGGGGAGCACGCCCTGAGGCAACAGCAGAGGTGTCTCAGCTCCAGAGGTCAGGACAATGTAGTGAGCAACCTCACAGGGAGAAGGCACAAGGCTGTGATCAAGGTTTCAAATGAAGGCGGAGGGGAGAGGGCAGAGAGGGTGGCAAAATGACATTCGTGGGAGAGGGCCCAATACGGGCAACGACCTGAAGTCAGATGCGTTGCTCTGTTACTCGAAGGCATTGTCTCAGGCCAGTGGGGAAGATGGTGCCTAAGCCTCCAGGGCTGCACTTGTGACAGCAGCGGGAGCAGGGAGGCGGCAGGGTTTGCGGCAGGGAATTCAGCCCCCCTAAGGCAACCCCACTGGGCTCAAAGCCATCAGAAGTAGAACTTGGGGTGGGGACCCCTGGCCTGGTCAAGCACTCTCTCTGGCTTTGGGACCAGGAGTGTGACTGCCAACATTCCGCTGGCACCACCTGAGGCCACTCCCAGCCCCTGCAGGCCCTCCCAGGACTGTTCTGGAAGCAAGGGCATGGGAGCGGAGAGAGCAGGGATGAGAGGGGGCTCCAAAAGTCACTCACAGACTCTTCCTCACTGCTGGGAGTTTTCGCTGCCATCTTATGAGGGTCTTTTTCCAGGATGGGCATCGTGGTGACTCCAGGTCCAGGGAAGCAGAGGTGTAGACCTGAGGACCAAGAAGGGACAGGCATCAACATAGCAGCCACCTGGGCCTGCCATGATCACTTCCCCTCCCTGAGCCTGGCCCCACCCCACCCCATGAGGAGGCCGGAGGCTGGAGTGTATAGCAGCCTCTTTGCAGGCCTGGCCCCGATCTCCACCCCCTGACCACGTGTCCTCTGTGGGCCCCCGAATGGGAGAGGGTGGCTCCTGAAGTGGGCCTCCAGCGGGGACCTGTTCTCATGAGGCTGCTGCCACCCAAGGCCAACTGACCACCCCAGGACAGCACTGAGGGTGCAGGGCCAGGCATGCCCTCTCCAAATCCTTGAGGGCTCTTTGGCAGAGCACTTGTTTTGTTCCTGCCTGGAACCCAGTAGATACGTGCTTTGCTGATTAAAATCTCTCTTTCCCACTAGACTGTGAGCTTCTCAAGGGCAAGACGCTACCCCCGCCATGCTCAGTGCTTCATCTCTGGGGCCTTGCCTGGGCCTGGCTTGGAGTAGGGTGAGTGTCGGTTAGCCGAGGAAGAGGAATGCACGCCTGCGTAGGTGAATGTGCGCATGAGTGACACCGAGACCCTCCAAGGCCCTGTGCTCCAAGAGGCACTCCGGGCTGATCGCGAGCCTGGCCTGCAGTCAGGGCAGGGAGGACCCACGGCCTGCTGGATGGGTTGTGACGGAGGCAGTCTCTGGTCCACAGGCTCCCAGTGTAGGCGCCATGGCAATGCTGAGGGGTGCAGTGCAGGGAAGCTGGCCAGCCCGGCCCCCCAGGGCCCACCTGCCTTAGCCTGGGGAGAAGCAATTAATTTTGAAGGTGCAGTAGAATTCAGCCAGGCCAAGGGGGCAAAGGCCATTTTATAAGGCTATGGGGCACAACTGCTCTTCTTTGAGATCCCCCTAAACCTAAACCTGCACAGGCACACGCCCGTGATTTCCACTAGCCCATCCTCTGTTCTCTTTCAAGAGCCTGAAGCTGCTGTTTTAGCCCACTTCCCCCAACACCAGCCCGACCCAGAGGCAAGCACAGCCAGGTACGGACACATGGCACAGCTGGCCCCAGGAAGACGGATGAACCAGGCCCAAGGATGGAGGAGCCTGGGGCTGGCTGCCTTGCAGCCTGGGCAAAGAATGCAAAGCCTTTGCTGGCACAGTGCAGGGACACTCCCCACTGGGTAGTCCCCAGGTCCCCACAGACCACAGAGGCTACCCCCAACTGCAAAGTAAAAGAGGCCACATCCCTGGTGAGGGTGGTGGTGTTCTGAGGGGACAGCGAGGACAACGGCAGGTTGGTAAAGGCCCTACAGATGGTGTGGCCAATGCCTCTTCTTGCTCTTGCCCTGGGGCCCCACCACTGCAGGAAGACTCTAGCCAGGCTTCAGGGACCCAGAGCCTTGGAGAGGAGGGTGGGACCAGAGAGGGATAAGTTCCCTGATGGTTCTGTGATGGTCCCTGCAGCCGCCAGCTCCTCTTCCTCCTTGGCTCTTTGGCCAGTGCCTTACGGGTGTGTGTGTTTGTGTGTATGTCTTTCTGTCCGGTTTGTATCTCCCATCCATGCTTCTTCTGGCCTGGCTGTCAAAGGCTGCCAGAGGGGTGTCTGCCCTGCCCTGGAGGCCCAACCCCAGCCTGGTTTGGGGTCACAGGCTATCTGTACGCTGCGACCTGGCTCAGACTTGCCAGAGCAGCCACTTCTCCCCCAGCTCCCGGAGGTTCTGGAGAGAGGTGGGTGGGTGTCAGACCGTACTTCAGCGAAGTGGATCGAGACCCGCAGACCCTCCCACTGCACACAAAAGCGAAGACCTCCGCCGGTAGCAGATGCGGTCCAAGTGAAGGGAGAACACGCGTGGAGTCCCAGAGCCCTGCCGGTCAAGCCTCTCCAAGCCCAGGCACCCAAGCAGCGAATCCCGCATCCTCCCAGCTGTTCCCCCGACGGCCGCTGCAGCCCGGGGCTCCGCGGCTGCCGGCCTCTTGGCCCCGGCGCGCTCCCTGGACAGAGCCTCCGACCACCGCCCTCCGCTCCCCGCACCGCGCCGGCCAGGCCAGCCCAGCCCGGTCCTCCTCACCTGCTCTCGCGGCTCCGCTGCCTCCGCGGCCGCTGCACCGCACGCACCAGGCGGGACTCGGGGCGGGGGAGTGAGCCGGAAGGGACGCGTGGGGGGGGGCGCGTCAGCAGCGCGGGGGGGGACCCTGTCGCCCGGGTCTT